TATGAGTATCAAACGATTGTTAAGAGATGTTGATCTAAAGAGAAAGAATATACATTATTAAAGAAGAGATAATAAGATGAGATACGATTTTGTTCATAATGTCATATTTGAATATTATGGAAGTATGAAAGAAAATTTTAAAGTGTTATATATTTAAAAGATATAAGAGGTATAAATTGGTGTAAGAAAAAAATCGCAYATYGCGSRAGTTATATTYTWBTWAAAATAAGTAAATRRATGATTAAAADTAVCATAAAWKTGTAAATKKTTAAATCAAWWTTTTKTCTTTAAGTTTAATAAAATTGTATAACTCATGTATCACGGCGAATCATATTTTAGGATTATTTGAGTATTTTATTTTCTAAATAAAAATTACAATAATGAATATATTTTATTTATATTGTAGTTCATTAGAAADTAATCATAATATTAAGAGCTTATATATAAAAATGTTAATGAAACAGAAATTTTCTTTGGTTATTTATTGAATCATCATAATTGTGTTTCAACCGATTGTTAGGAGGTTGAAAGTTAAAAAGAAGAATATATGATTTCACTAAAAGAAATTTTGAGAAATTAACTTTCACTAATAGATGAGAAAAAAAAATTATTCAAAAAGAAGATATTAAACAATTTCATTAAAGATGAGAAAATAAGGTGAAATTTTGAAATATAAGAATGTATTTAACATGTTATAATTGAATTTTTTTGGAAGTATAAAAGAAAAATATTGAACCACAATTTAAAATAATATAAAAGATAAATTTTGAGAAATGATACTTTTCAAAAATATCACTTTTTCAAAAATTTTGCAAAATGCTTTTCAAATTTATTTACTCATTATATCCTTTATTTTTGGATTAACTATATTGTATTAGTGCCACATCAAAAGTGGCATTTTTGCAATTGTCCCTATAAAAAATCTTAAGTTTTGATACATATAAAGTAAAAAATTAATGGTGACATTATTCATAAATTGTACAACAAAATATATGGGTAATAATATATGATCTTTATGTAAAAATGTATGTAATTCTACACACAATCCAAGAAAAAAAATACATATTTAATAATTTAATATGTCTACCAATGCTTTTAACCCAAAAAATCTAGCAAATATAATTTTAAAATGTTTAACAAAACGTAAAAAAAAATATGTATAAATTAACTTTCTATATATTAATGTCTTACGAAAAATTGATAAAAGTAAATATATTGATCTATGCGTTGCACGATTATAGTTAGAATGTGTTTGAAGATTTGGATGGAGCAATATTGTAATAAAAAAATATAATAAGAAGTTCTCAAAACCTAAAATATATTTATTTAAAATTTATATTAACCATATGATATAAGATTTTAAATAAATATTAGAATGTGTTAATGAATGTAAAAAAAATACTTATACACTAACATAAATATTTATCAATACACGTTATAAATGATATAGGTACAAAATATAGGAAAAAAAGAACAAAAAAATCAAAAGAAATCAAGTTCGCGCAAAGCGCGAGTTCAACCCTAGTTTTATTAATTAATAAGGTAAATGAGTTTTTTTTTCAAGGATTAAGTTACTTTTAACCAATATCATTATCATCCGAATCTATCTATTTTCACAGATATTTTGTTAATATAGTGTTAAATTTAAATTTATTGGTTGAACTAATTGAAAAATAGGTGAAAACTATTATAGTGTCATATKAGAATTGGAAATAATTTATTACAATTAACCGCTACATTATGGTGTTTTTTGCTTGTCAAAAATCTACTTGTATCCCATCGTGAATCTCCARTATGAACAAAACCAAATAGTAATAATTTTATATGTTAATGTTTGTAACTAATTCTCCGTATACAACATAAATTAATAATGCGCTTAACAAAATTAGCTCGTGTGATATTCTTCAAAAAAAATGTTACCAATGATTTTCAAAGGTAAAATTACCCAGTTTTAAAACCATCCAATGATCTTTGTAATTAAAATTCTTTTACTTTTTGGGATAAACTATTGCAATTAGAGGATCTATTAAGCATTTCACCTTTAACTAATTTATAAGACCTCTGTTTTCTTGTATTAAGATTATGTGTTTGAAGAAGACATCAAAACATTTATGCTAAACCAATTAGCTTTTTCGGAACATATACTCATGTTTTTATTTTGGAAAAAATGTAAAAAAATGGTTTCATCTTATAAGATATACCAGCACACTTATCTCATCTTTCTCATACACTTACGCTGTAATTTTGATTTTTCTTCAATTTCTTCGTTTTTAATGAATGATTTCTTGTACTTTTCTGTTTTTTTTTTCCAGAGGATATTGTGAATGTTGTATGATGATGTGTGATATAATACATCGAATGTTGGTAGTGATTGTATTAAAGAGCAGTTATTGGACCAAAAAAGTTGGAAGATTGTTTAATTAGAAGTTGGAAAGGTTGTTTAATTTTTTTTTTTGGTCGAATAGAATAAGTTTTTTTAAAAATAAAATTTTAGTTTTAATTTATCAAAGATGATGTGTAAAAAAGGAGAGTGATGATGTGGCAAGGTGTTGTGAAGGGAAGTTAACTATTATATATAAGATTTTACATTATGATATAAACTTATTTTTCCTCTATTTGATGAATTTTCTAATGCAATTATAAAGAAATTTATATATATTTTTACTGTTTCTGAGTATTACCAGTGTTGCATTTATACTTTATAGATTCCATGGTTGTCGGAAAAACTAGTTCATGATTTGAATTTTGAAATAATGTATTTGACTTACTTTATGTATTGGAGACGGGTGTCAAAGACTCTATTTCATTCTGAGTATTACAAGATCTTGTTGTTAACCAAAGACTCCATTACTTTGATAACCAGAGAATGTTTCGGGATTCTTACAAGAAGACACAGAGAATTAAACTGCTAAAATTTCGCTTACCTGCGAAATGACGTGTCTCGCAAACCGCATGATCGGAGAAATTAGGGTTCTTCGATCCAATTGTCTCCTTTTTCTCTCAATCACGAATTTCGGACATCTTTGCAATGGGCCTGTCTTGCTGGGCTTTTGTCCCAATTTCTTTTTCACCCGGTTCAACCAAACCGATGCAATGACGGGAAAACAACCGGTACAGCTATTGGAATAAAACATCGGGTTCTTGTAAATGTACAACAAACCTAGCAACCGAATGGATCCATCAAAGGGAATACATAAACCGGAATTGTCCGGTTTGTACCGATGCATTTCTTCCCTCCCATTTGTCATCTTATCTTCTGGAAAATACTGGTAAATCCCTGGAGAAATCGCAATCGTCGTGGTCAAATTCTTTAGCTTTCTTCATCAATGGCACTAACCCAGATCGTGAATCCAATCATATATCCATCTCCCGCAATTTCACGGCGTTTCATTACGATCTCGCCTTTTAAACCCCTAAACCCCCAATTTTCCCGCCACTCACCTCAAGCACTCTCTCGTAGACTCTTCCTTCCTTCTGTTTCCTCGATTTGGGATGCCATTACAGGAGGTGGAGACTCCAACCCTCGTGAGGCCATCGCGGCGATTCGAAAAGGAATGCAGCTCTTCAGACAGGTAAAATTGGAAAATTTTCCGACAGATAAATACAAATTTCAATTTTGGATCTTTTAATATGAGCTTCATATTCGGAATGTTTGTGATAGGGTGATGTTTCTGGATCGGTGACAGAGTTTGATCGAGCTATTGTATTGGATTCTCGGCAAAAGGCATGTAGGTTTCATTTGCTTTGTCTTTATCTTTCAACTTCATTTCTCTTATAGACAAAGACAAATGAGTTAACATTAACATTTGCTTTGATGACAGATCTTTGGCAACGAGGGCTTTCTCTTTACTATTTGGATAAGTACGAGCTTCTACTCATTGTCTCTTGTTACGGATTGAGTTGATTTTTAAAGTGTAGAAATTTGCCTTGTTCTGTTTCTGGATTTTGGTCTGTGTATATTGTATGAAGGATTGAAATGTCCTGCTTCATAACTAACAGGTTTGAAGAAGGTGCAGAGCAGTTCCGGATAGATGTTGCTCAGAACCCAAATGACACAGAGGAGTCGATTTGGTGCTTTCTCTGTGAGGCTCGGCTCCATGGTATTGATGCTGCACGAAAACAGTTTGTCGAGGTTTGGTTTGATTCTTAAAGATTATTATTGAACCCTGATCAGTTACAAAAGCAGGATATGAGATTTTTAAGAACCATTCTTTGTAGGTTGGTAGAGATTCTCGGCCTGTGATGCGGGAAGCTTATAATCTATTCAAGAACGGTGGAGATCCTGACAAGGTTTTGAGACATGTTTCTTGATAATTGATGTCATGATTCCCTTCCACCAAACTACTCTTAATATTCTGATTTTCGAAAAACAGTTAGTAAATGACTTCTCGAGCGGTCAAGCAAGGGAATACTTCTACGCTTCGCTGTACGCAGGACTCTACTATGAAGCTGAGGTATGCTTTCTCGATCTTGAATTTCTCAAACACGATCTTCGTTGACATTTCTTCTTCTTCAAGAACATACAGTCCTCAAGTAAATCCTGGTTTTTAAGTATCTTGTCTGATTCTTGTTGTAGGGTAAATCAGAAAAGGCAAAGTTTCATATAACCGCGGCTTGTGAATCTCCATATGGAGAGAGGTTTGAATCCCTGCATACTTAGAGCAGTTCAAATGAAGAGATTCAATGGTTTGGTGTTTTTTATGCTTTTGCATCCCAAATTTTATTTCAGGTCTGATGATTATATGGCTTCACTTGCTAAAGTTCACTGCCTCTGTAGAAACTGGAGCTCCGGCTTTGTTTGAACCGGTTCATGTTCTTTTTATCCTTTAATTTTTAAAGCCCAATTTATGAAATATTAGTCCAATTAAAAGTTGGAACCTTCGTTTGCAATTTCCACCCTTATTTGTAGACCTTAAAGAAGGAATCGTAGAGAATATTTAGTATTTTATTATTACTCCTTGTATATAGGGGTGGAA